GAAATAGGAAATTTCGCTGCAGAACGGCATTTAGGCGAAAATAGTATTTTAATGAATGAGGCGATAGTTAGTTTGTTCCGATGAGGTTATTTCCTTAATGATAAAATGTTGCTTCGATAATCGTACAAGTGTAAAGAAATAATCTGCATTAAAGCAAACACGAAGCAGGTCGGCCTTCAGTGCATATACAGTGGGTATATCTTATACGTGGTGTTGCGTCATCTGCATAACATGCCGACAACTTGACGACAATATCGCTTCTGTATCCCCACTGTCGGCATCATAGAATCAACGCAGCTGCAGTACTTGTATACTGAAGTTTCTATGTCTCTGCACTCAGCCTCAAAATATTCAAAGTTAGATTTTTTCACTAACTTGTTTTTTAAGTGGACGCATGCAAACGTTCGACTTCTTCTCGACTTCTGCTTACGCATACGCAGTACCATGAAATTTTTATTTAACTGAATTAAACATAAAATCAAAAGCAAATTATTGAACATCCATAGCACTTTCCAATTTTTCCTTTCGTTTCATTACTTTCATCATCTTTCGTGCTCTTTTTTTCGACATTTGTCTAGCACATACAACTCCTGTACCGTTATTTCTGGTTTTCCTCTGACTTTTGCTGTCGCTGCTGCTGCTGAAATCAAATCCAAGCATAGGCAGGCTGCAAATTTTGCTGGTTCATTTAAAAAGTTTGTCAAAAATCAAGTTATAATCCCTAATTTGCATAATCGTAATATTTTTGGGAGAACTGTCAAACCAAAAAAAGACCTCTTATTTTGCATCAAAGGTAATTCATTCCTTCGCAATTTTTCTTTCCTCGATCGATCGGACAAGTGCGGTTCGAGTGATTCTGCTGCTGGTGCTGCTGCTATTGCTCCCTCGCCTGTATCGTCGGGTAACATTTCCACCTGTAGCCATTCCTTGCAAAAATGCACATAATTTAATAAAGTTTTTTTTTTCAAAAAAATATTACGATTTATTCCGTAAACATTTCTGAATCAGAAAACAAAAAAAAAAAAACAAAATGCAAAACAGGAAATTCCGATCATAACCAGTTCATCACATGAAAATAGAACTCGGTGAGTTCTATTAAACCGGATTTAGTACTTGTCTGGCTGACAGACTGGGAAAAGGGGGGG